TATCTCTTAGAACATGAAAAGTGTCATCAGTTCATTGGCATAGTATTCATTATTTTCCCTACATTTTTCATTTTCCCTTGCCCCACTAAGATAAATAAGTTTACAAATTTTAAAATAATTTCAAACAACCATTTCTCTCTCTTTATCCCATGGAGTAATCAGCAATGGTTTAGATGTATTTTCTTGTCAGTCTTTTGGGAGTCAGCTTATCATGAGGCAGTGTTTGGCCCATACCCACCCCAAGCTGAAAGAGCTACAAAAGACCTCAATTGCCTGAGCTGTTTAGGTCATCTGTACACATATTTTCCCCTTGACTATATGTGCTTCCATTTAATTCATAGACCTATACTCAAGTGTTTTCATTTCATCAATGTTTATATATTCTTCTATGCGTCAAATGTATGTAGGATATTTTTATGTCTAACTGGACACAGTGCTGCATCTAGGAATGCTAAAATGAGTAAGATCATGACACAGTGGCCAATGAGGCTGGGAGAAAAGCTGTATAAAGACAGTGTCCTACATACACTAGACCTTCAAAGAGTGACTGTACACTGTGTAGTGCCTGGCTTCAAAACTAGCAAATAAGTAGATAGGTATCATGGTTTGATCATAGGCATTATTATGTTATTCAAGTTAATCACTAGAAAAATATATACCGAACACTTTAAATATACCCTAAAAATGCATGTACAAAATATTCTAACAAGTCTCATGCTCAAGAACCTTTCATTCAGATGGGGAGACAGTATCTAGTATGGTTAAATGTAGAACCAATATGTAGTGTGATTAAAACAGTAAACAACACAAGAGATAATATAGTTGCCATGAAACTGAAATGAACTTTATGTTCAATATGCACAATCATAGGAAAAAGAGGTCACAATTGTTAGGTCTTTGTGTCCTCATTAACTGACTGACACACTTAAATTCAAGTGGTGGAGGTGGAGAGATAGGAAAATTATTCATGTTGAATATTTATTCCTTTTATGCTTTCTACAGATATATTTTTAAATATATTTTTATTGATTTCAGAGAGGAAATAAAAGAAATGGAGGGAAAAAAAACCATAATGATGAGAGAGAATCATTGATTGGCTTCCCCAGCATTCCTTCCCCTACTAGGAGTTGAGCCCACAACCCTAGCATGTGCCCTGACTGGAATGGAACAGTGACCTCCTGGTTCATAGGTCAGCGCTCAACCACTGATCCAAACCAGCTGAGCACAGATATATATTTTTTACACTTGATCTCATTCCCCTGCACAACTATACGAATTCAATGATATCATATCTATTTTAGAGTTAAGGAAATAGGAGCAAGATTTAGTCATTTACCTGAAAAGAGAGGATTGTAAGTAAGTGATGAAACTGGACTCAAACCCAAGTCTCTGTCTTAAACCCTGCTCTTAACCAGACCACATTCCTCCCTGTAAACTTTGTAAGAATAGAGTAAGATACTAAGCATATCATGAGAATAATCAACAAGTTACCAGGTTAGACACGAACATAGATACTGCCTGATCAGTATCACAGTAAACAAATGATACATCTTATTTCTTTTCTACAGAACCTGCAGGATTTTGATGCCATTTTTATATGTAGGCGACTCTGAGTCAATTGACAGAACCAGTAGCTAGATGCAAAGATGTGCCCATTTGTAGACCTTGTAATGAGCACCCTTTTGCATCCCACACCTGTCTATTTGCTTGGGGCTTATAGAACTGACTGAAAATAAATGAGTATTTCCATTTGTTTGAATTCATCATGTGGATTGATAATTATCAGGGGGAAAGAGGTGTGGGGGGGTGCAGGAAGAGACTGGACTAAAATCATACACCTATGGATGAGGACAATGGTGGAGAGGTAAGGGCAGAGGATGGGATGGGAACCGGGTGGAAGGGAGCTGTGGGAGAGGGTGGGAGAGGAGAAACAATTGTAATAATCTGAGCAATAAAGATTTATTAAATTTAAAAAATAAAATGTGCCTTCCCTTGAAGAGAAAGATGTGTTTTCTTAGCATATATAGTGTAACATGCTTTGCACTTAGTGGTTGTTCAATAAAAATTGGATGTTGGTTGAGTAGGTAAAGGTGATGGTTCCCTGAGTTGCCTTATTTAAAGTCAAAACCATTGGACTCTTTCCAATCAAACAGAACACAAAGGTACCCTATCACCAAAAGCCACTTAATGTGAAATTCCAAGCATTTTTTGGTAGCACCTTAGACTCTATTTAGGATGCCTTGTCCAGAGTCATTTAGTGGTTCAACTGTTTTCTGTCATGTTATAATGTTCAACACTGTATTGTCAAAGTGATGAATCAGAGGAGCAGTTTACAAATCAGTCCCTAAGGCCTGTGAATTTCATCTTTCCAGCCAGCATAGAGTTATAGGCATGTAACTAGTTCAAAAGCTGAGAAAACTTTGGCACAAAAAGAGGAAATATGAGCTAGGGCACTCAGTGGTCAATGAGTAGAATGGCCCCACAGCATTCACACAGCTCACGTAGAAGAAGACAAGAAGAAATCTTAAGTACTAAGGGTAGTACTCTCCTGTGACTCCATGTGTGGTATTCATCTAACCAGAACCATGGCTGAGGTCTAGGAAACACCCAGTAATGAGCTGGTGTGTACTCATGGACACATGCAGGACTGGACCTGGGAAGAATGCAACTTTGCATGGCCTCTGAGCAGCAATAAGGGGACATCCTACCTCCTGAGGAAGAAGAGATTTTGGAGGTGAAGCAGGTAAAGAAGTCCCAGGAGATATGATAAACAGAAAAGAGCATCAGGTCTGAAGAAGCAGTTCCTAGGACTTGTCTGGATCCATTGAAAGGGCCAAGGAGCTCACTCCTCACTCAGGAAGAGCCAGGTACAGTAAAGCAAAAATTCTTCATACTCTTAAGAACAAGTAGTAAAATTACTTATTGCCCACCTCCTTCCCAAACTAAGCAAATTACAAGGTCAAGAAAAAGATTTTTAAAAAAGCTATAAGCTCACTTGGGCACAATCATAAGCATTTAATTGATAGAGTACTAGTAGATTGAAAAAGATGATTGCTTGTTTCTTTTTTTTTTTGAGCCTGGTTTTTCCCTTGATAGTTTTACATCAAATGTATTTTTAATGTATTTTTATTGATTTCAGAGAGGAAGAGATAGGGAGATAAAAACATTAATGATGAGCAAGAATCATTGATTGGCTATCCCTTGCATGCACCCTTCTGGGGACCAACCCAAAACCCAGACATGTGCTGTGACCTCCTGGTTCTTAGGTTGACACTCAACCACTGAGCCACGCTGGTTGGGCACATTAAAAGTCTTATCTTTGAGTCTGTATTTACCTTGCTGAAAGAGATCATTATGCTAAGAAAGTATTCTATTCTACTGCTATTATTTCTTTAGTAACTATTAATGCCATTCTTAAAGACTGCAGCTTCTTTTGAAATTTTCCCTGTCCTCCTTTCTGAGCTTATTCTAATCTCTGACTGGAACTTGTGAACAGCTGTCTAGAATTGATGAGATGTCCTCATTTGGGTCCCAATCAGCTCAGCATCAGAGACAGTCATGCTTAGGAGCTGAGTGTCACTGGTGCAGATAAAAATAACGATCTAAAAGCTCACAGGCTCCCTCTAAAGATTCCCTATACACAGAGCTCAGACTTTAGGAGGGAAATGTTAAAGGAAAGTTATTACTAGAATAATAAGTCATACATGTGGTTAAAACACTCAATGTACTGAAAGTAGTTAGTTTGAAACATAATATGCGAGAGGCTTCCCCTAAATGTCCTCAAGCCTGCCTGGTCCCTCTCTGCCTTCATAAAGGGTAGAATTTGCCCCCAACATATTTTGTACCTCAGCAGAAATTCTTTCATCCAGATATTTCAGTGTGTTTATAAATGCAAATGAGCAAGCCTCAGCATCACTTCTGTCCACAGAGATGGTTCATTCAAGTAGCACCAAAATTTATGTAAATGACCTAATTAGGGTCACCTGAGAAGTCCTTTGTGTCATCTGGAAATGGATATTCAAGATGTAAAAATACCTGTAGCTGGATTTAAATTTAGCAAGTACAATTGGAGGGACACATCACCTTCTTTAATCTTTACAGCAAGGCTCCAACAATGGCCTTTCCTCAGCCTGACTGAGTACACACATACCTGGAAACCCAAACTTCAGCCCTCCTCTGTCCTATCTTATCTGCTCCAAAAGCGGAGTTTTTTTAAGATCTATTTATGAATCACTCTGATTAAATAAGTAGTTGGCCATATTTTCTTTTGTTCTCCCAAACTCTTCTGTTAATTCAGTGAGAAAATATTAAATACTTGTTTTCTAGCCACTCACTGTGCTAGACACAGGGAACGTGTCTATAGTCATGCTCTTCCTTTCATGGGAAGAACTGTCAGTAAACAAGAATCAGCCACACTGTGGTCAGTTCTATGAAGATGACAAACCTGGGTGAGGCAGGACAGAATGGATGGATCAGGGGCATCCTCTCTAAGCAGGTGATATCTGAACTGAGACCTGGAGCATGAAAATCAGTCAGACTTTTCTTTGCGTGTGTTTGTATGCTTGCATATTACAGATTTTCATTTATAATAAAGTAAACATCAATATTTAATTTCCCACATAAACAAAAAGCTCTCTGAGGGTTGTCTTTTAGTTTTTCCCAGAGCGTAAGGGTGATGAAACCAAAAACTTAGAAAACCACTGTGGTTTACCCGCAGCCGTGATTGGTCCATGAGGCACCATTGTGATGGAACTGCAAACCACACCCCAGCCATGATTGGTCCATTTCTTGATCTGATCTCATAAGGTGCCACTATGATGCAACTGCTAACCACTCCTGTATAAAACCCTGACCAGGCAGAGTTTTTTTTGTCCGTTATAGCCCAGGAAGCTGATTTGTGGTGACCTGTGGACTTGGACTCCTTAGCTTGTTTTGGCGTTTTGGTCTAGCTTGTTTTGGCCTTTTTTTATTATTATTATTTTGTTATTTTCCATTTTTATTTTATTTTTTTGTTTTTATTTATTTTGTTGTTTTATTTAAGTTTATTTTTTCCTTTTCTTTTATTATTTATTTTTCTTTTTGTTTTGTTTTATTTTGTTACTCTTTTGTGTTATTTTGAAGGTGCCATGTTTAATCCCTTTGCTCCCCGCTTTGCCTTCAAGGAGCACTCTATTGGCGAGTATCTCCTCCTAAAGAGTATCAGAAAGGGATCCAATTCCGAGGTGTGGTTGGCTCGGCATTTGCTGACTGGGGCACAGGTGGTTGTAAAAGCCATTAGACTGAATGGCATCTCTAGATTTTTTCAAGAGGTCCATTGTTTTAAGAGCTTAAATCACCCAAATATCACAAAGTTATTTGAGGTGATTGTCACCAAGGACAAGATTTTTCTCGCTATGGAGCATGCGAGCGAAGGGGACTTACTTGAACACTTGAAGCACTATGGCCAAATGGATGAGGGAGAAGCCCGCACTGTGTTCCGGCAGATAGTATCCGCAGTCCAGTACTGCCACCAGAAGGGCATTGTCCACAGAGACCTGAAGCCAGGTAACATTCTTATAGACAGTGATATGACCATTAAATTAACAGACTTTGGCTTCAGTAAGGAAGTGAGTGATTTTAAACAGAGCACCTTCTGTGGCACCATCTGCTATTCGGCCCCAGAGATCTTGCAGCGTCAAACCTATGATGGCCGCAAAACTGATGTATGGAGCCTGGGGGTGCTCTTGTACAGGATGCTGACGGGGGTGGTGCCGTTTGAGGGGGACAACTTTGTGAATGTGAGAAAGCACATACTAAGTGGACATTTCTATATACCATACTTTATGTCAATGGAGGTTCAAAAACTTTTAAGAAAATTACTCACCATCGACCCTAGCCAAAGACCGACACTGGAAGATGTAATGAAGGACCCCTGGCTCAACAAGGGCCAGGAGACGATGCTGAGGCCATACAGTGAGCTGCCCCGCAGTGACTTGGACCCCCAGGTAACAGAAATGATGCAGAGCCTCGGCTTTAAGCAGGACGACATCCAGGAGTCAGTAACACAAAGAAAATTTGACAGAGTGATGGGCACATACCTGATCCTCAGAATGATGAAAACCAAGATGCCTGGCCGCACCGTCAGGGTAAGGCCCTGTTACTCCCCTGACACCAGTAGCAAGTCCTTAAGCCAAGAGGATGGTAAGCCATTTGATGAGAACACCAAAGAGCCTGCTGTTTCCTCAAAATGCCTGCAGTTGAGGGTGACAACTTCCCCACCCAACCTGGAAACCACTCCCCCAGAGCACAGCCCAGACACCCCCAGGGCAGACCTTCAGCTTAGTAATGGGGACTCCCTCTCCATCCAGAACAACAGCAGCACCAGCAGCGCCAGCAGCGGTGGTGGAGCCCCAGAGGGAGCCGCCCATGAAAGCTGCCTTCAAGCAAGGCAGCCTGAGGGTGGCACCCCAGTTGCTCCCTCTAGCCCGATCCAGGGCCGGCAGTCCATTGCTAGGAGGGCCTTCCAGTTTTTCATAAGATTCATATGTTGTGGGCCACCCACCGAGAAGAAACATCTCAAAAGGACAAAAATCAAACCAGCGTGATTTTTAAAATTGTGGACGGTTAAGGCGGGGCCACAGTCAACTTGAAGGTGCGGAGCTCCAGGAAGGCCGGCCATGTGGTATAGAAGATGAACCAAAGGTTGGAGGCAAACAGCTGCAGGTGAGAGCGGTGCCAGAAGTACACACTGTGTGTGCAGGGGGAGAGGAGTTGGTCCGGTGGACAATGGAGGTGTGTAAACTGTCAGCTTTCTCTTCACAGGATCCACACCAGGAGTGAATCCAGCAGCGCCTTGGCCTTCAGAAGCACAATGCCTGCTGAGCTTGTAGGACTGCCCGGATACCCCAGAGGTCAAGAGGAGAGGCTGCCCTCGCTGTGGGTCCATCCCTCAGCCCCCACCTGAATGAGACCAGAGACTGGACTTTTCCCTGGATCCCTTCCCTCCCCTGCTCCTTTGCTCCCATGTTTATGAGCTGCTTATTAAATATTTTAAACTTGATGTTCCAGAAAGATGTATTGAGCACTTTGTTTTTCTTACTCTGCACAGAACTGGGGCTGTGCATCCTATAGTTTGAGAAGTGTGTAGTGATAATAGTATGTGGACTTTATAAGGGGAATTCCAACAGGAACAAGTGTGGTTCCCAGCATGCAGGGTGGGTTTCAGGCACCAAGACATTAGTGGGACAAGCAGGCAGAGGTCTCCATTGTCATGCAGCTGCTGGCCTGGGTGTCTATGACCTCAGCAGGAGTCACCTCCCCTGGCCTCTTGGCTTTGCTCACTTCCCTCTGTGCTGGTGTCATTCTCAGGTGGGCTTTCCCTGTATATAAGTCAGACTTTTACATCGCTGAGGGAACTGTGCTCCAGGCAGAGGGGACAGCAGAGCTCCAGAAAAGAGTTCAAGTGGGAAAGAACTTGAAATTTTTCAAGATGGCCAAAGCATATTGAGTTGGTGTGAGAGCAGCAGGAGTTGTGGCTGCAGATGAAGGGCAAAGCTTGTGGGCCATGGAAAGGAGTGTGCAGTTTATCCTGAGAACAGTGACCAATCCATGAAGGGTTTAAGCAAGGAAGTGTTTTCCCCAATTTTGTCCTTACCACACCAGTTCCCTACACATGTAGATTCCCTACAATGAATCCATTGTTGTAAAAGGAAAAGACCTATCTGCCTCTCTGGAACTGATTTGTTGTCTGACATCACTGATCAGCTGCCCCTTTCCCTGAGGAACCTGGTGTTCCTCTGAGTCATCTGCCCTCCTTCCCTGTGATCCCAGCAGCACATGGCATAGACCTCTGTGACTCTCATCACTTTGTTGTCATTAAGTGGTTCCCTTCCTCTCCTTGCCCTTATCTTCCATTTCTGAGTTTTTAGGGGCTGGGAATTACCTCACTCACCTTTGTATTTCCAGTCATAACAGACCCAGGTCCAGAATTGGATGCTCAGAAAATGGTGAACAGGTGAACAATCCACCTGGTCACTACATAGTGGATTGTCCCAAACCAGGACACATTGGAATGTAAGAGGGAATGTGATTCATAATGATGCATGGACAATAGTGTAAAGTTGGGCTGGGATTTTACTGGGATGCATGGTCACCTGGGTGATCGCTATAAAGAATTATGACCAAAACTGTGAACTGCTATGATTTATTATGCCAATTCTAGTAGCTAGTATTATCTTGGAGATACTAGTTGCTCCAGCCAGTTTAGATCAATGGTCCCCAAAGCATGGGTGACATAAGGCATATTTGTAAGTAGCAAGGGCATCAAGATTAATCTTCCATAGTGTAATTCCCTCTTCAATTCTACATTAACATGTCTGTTACAAAGAGGAGCTCTCAGTTGGTGCTAATTATCTTAACCCCCTCGTACTCTCACTAATCTTCCTTTTTAAATGAAAAAGGACCTTTGAATAACAAGTGGTATTTGGTGGCATTTTTTAAAATTATTATTATAATTTTATTTATTTTATGCTTTCCTTTTCTTCATGGTAAATTATGATCATGTCCAGGTAGGATTGAGATAATTTCATTTTCTATTAATCTTTTGAAGTAAAAATGGTAAGGTTTTAAATATCTATATTTATTAAAGGGTAATATGCTAATTAGACTGGGTTGAGTGGACATCTACCAGACATCCGAATTCCTTCCCAACAAAGCTGTGGTGGCGGGGTCTGAGGGAGAGGCAGTAAAAGACAATCAGGCTGGCAGGGGAGCAAGCAGTTAGGGGCAAGATCAGGCTGGTATAGGGGAGTAAGCACTTAGGGGGCAATTATGCCAGCAGGGGTGGGCAGTTGGGGGTGATCAGGCCAGCAGTCAGAGGCAGTTAGAGGTGATCTGGCAGGCAGGCAGAGGCAGTTAGGGGTGATCAGGCAGTAGGCAGGCGAGCAGTTAGGAGCCAATGGTCCCAGATTGTGAGAGGGATGTCCTAGATTAGAGAGGGTGCAGGCAAGGCTGAAGGACAACACCTCCCCCCACACCACCCCCACACACCTTCTTTTTTTTATTTGACAGGGACACACACTTTTCAGTTGTTTGCATACCTACCTTTGCTATGGAAGAATAAAAACATAAGAGGAAATAGCTTTGACTCTATTGCCCTATCAAGCCAACAGGTATACAGAGATAATTATTTCTTGTACATAAAGGGTACAAGTGTTGAAAATATCTATTTACATTATTTTTTCAAAACAGAACATCAGCATGGTATAACATTATCATCTTAATCACAAACAAGCAAGATGGTTAGAAAACTACAGCAACAATAACAACCAGTCCACACCAAAATAGTAACCTGTTTTCCACCCACAGCTGCATGTTCCTCTCCAGCCTAAGGGTTTCTCTATTCAGGATAAAAATCACTTTATTTTGAAGTTACAAGGTGAGAGAGATTGGGATTATGTGGTCTTATTAGAGCACTTTGTCAGGAAATGTAATAATGAAGGTGCAGGGATAGCTCATGATTTTGAAACAACACTTCTGTTCATTCCCACCAGCTCTTCTCAACCTGACTACCAATTTAAAGGACTGTAGTTTCCAGGAAGACTGGGGTTCTGTGAAGTTGGCTGTATTCTTTGTGCCTTACACAGTGCTTGGTTCTTAGAAGACTCTTTTAACATTGTTGAATAATGAGCCACCATCATAATAGCTGCTATTGCTAAATGCCCAGGATGTACTTGGTGCTATGATTTACTATGCCAATTCTAGTAGTTAGTATTATCTGTATTGTCCCATGGAGGAAACAGTTCAGAAATGTTAAGTAATGTGTCAGGTTCACAAAGTGATAGGAGTAGGATTCAAACCTAGATATGTCTGAGGTCAATGCTTCAGTTTTTCTCTCCTACAAAATGCAAAAGAGTTATATGACTTCATAAAAGACTTCATATATGAAAAGGAAAACTCCAATAGTACAGAGAAAGACACATGCCATATGAAGTCATTTATATGCGGAATCTAAAGAAAAAAATAAACAAAACTGAAATAAATGTATAGATACAGAGAATAGACTCATGGTTGCCAGAGGAGAGAGGGTTTGAGGGACTGAGTGAAAAAGGTGAAATGATTAAGAAGTACAAACTGGTAGTTACAAAGTGGTTATGGGGGGATGTAAATTATTGCATAGGGAATATAACCAATAATATTGTAATAACTATGTATGGTGACAGGTATAGGGTAAATATCAGAGGTGAGGAGACACTGTGGGAAGTGTGTGAGGTGCATGATAGTAGGACCAATGTGCTGGACACCTGACACTAATACAAAATAATTTTGAATGTAGACTGTAATAAAAAATAAAGAGCCCTAGGCAATTTTCTCTGTAAACTGATAGGTCACAGTTCAATTCTCGTCAAGGGCACATACCTGTTGCAGGCTGGTCCCTGGGCCTGGTTGGAGTGTGTTCAGGAGGCAACCAATTGATGTGTCTCTTTCACATCCATGCTTCTCTCTCTATCTCACCCCCTCCATTCCACACTCTCTAAAAATCAATGGAAAAGATATCTTTAGGTGAGGATTTTAAAAATAAAAGACATTTATTCTTAAAAAAAAAAAAAAAGAATTTGAATCTGTACTATTAGAGCACTTTGTCAGGAAATGTAATAATAAAGGCCTAGGGATAGCTCCTTCTTCTATGATCACACAACTGTCACACACCAGGAAGTCACTCAGAAATATCTTGGCATTGGCCTCTTTATGGAATTCTCCCTTCTCTCTGTTTTCCTGAGCCAAACTCTGGACATTGACTGCGGCATTCTCTTGGTCATTGGCTTGGTTTTTTTTACTACATTTCTTCCGTGTGTAGTGATCACACTTCATCTGGAGGGGGACAGGTGGGGGCTGGCTCAAGTGACCTGGAGGAAGTACGGGGAGTGCAGTCAGTCACCTCTGGTCACCCGTGGCTCTCCTGGCAGTATCCGTTCTTCCTTGTGGAGCATCTAGGGAAGGGAAGCAGTTGCAGTGCCTAAGGCAGAGTTCCAGGAGGCCAGCAGTGCTGTTGTGATCGCGCTGGTGGCACTGGTCCATTGATGCCTGCCCTGTCCTCTGGAGATTGTACCTGCAGGATGACTAAGGAAGCCAGTCCCCAGTTCCACCTCACCTCTGCCACTGATTGATTGGAGTCAGAGGGCCAGGAGGAGGGACCAAGAGGTGTGTCTTCCAGCTACTCACCAGTCCCCACTGGGCCACTCACTCGGGTTCCCTGTTAGACATCCCCTGATCAATGGAGCCTGAAGATTGGGGGATGGCCCAGTTGTCCATTCAGTCATTACAAACTGTGGATTTTTATATATTAAGATTTTTTATATTTTCTAGTTGATGGTGCTAAAAAGGGGGGATTGATCTTATATGAAACAATCCTACTCAGTCCTTGTACTGGTTCTAATAAGTGTTTTGATTCTATTGTTCTTTTTAGATAAATCATCATATCGTGTGCAAATGAAGACAATTTTATCTCTTACCTTCTGTATTAATCAGCTCTCATTAAGCTAATGCTATGGTAACAACCAACACCCAAATCTTAGTGATTTACAACAACAAAAATATATTTCTCACTCATGTAACATGTTGAGTACCTTTTGGCTACAGCTCTGCTCTGTATGTTTTCTTATTCTGGGATCCAAACTGAAAAAGCAGCACTAATTAAGAACATGCCCTTCTTGTAGCAGAGGGAAAGCATGAGGAAGCCAGCAAACCCACACAGATGCTATTAAAGCTTCTACTCAGAACTGGCACACTCAAGTCCTTTTATATTCATTGGCCAACGCATCATATGGTAAAATCAGGTGACAATAGGGCAGAAAGTTTCTACCCTTCCAGAGGAAAGCTTTGCAAATCACATGACAAAACAAAACAAACAAACAAAAAAAACAACAGGCAAATGTAACCTTCTTGCAGGAGGCAGGGCTAGGAGAG